CGGATATTACATCCAATTAATGCCTCTGCACATATACCTACATCGACAGTTGCAGCGCACAAAATGCATCAAATTCAGTGCGCCGCAAGACCCAGGTCGCAAATCAATATTTGGTGACTGCTCCAAGCCGACTCGTCTAGGTTGTATGCACTTTGTTCACTTGTTTGCGTGGGTGTGAGTGGTTTGTGTGCCGTGTGCTCATAGAAACGCGTATTTTTCACGTCCACGTCACGCAAACCTAAAATAGGCAAAGACCGCACGCGGATAACGTTTGGATAAGTTATTTTCCTATATAATATTCGCGAATTTGATATCTACGCCATTGAGGATGGCACCCATTGTATTTCCAAAGATGGCCGGCCCATGTTTATACGTAGCATTGTTTTTGTATAATAGCAGAGTGTAAGCATTGTACATGTGGATGGGCAGGATGATACTAGTATTCTGAATCGAATTCACTGTACGAGTAAACATATTGCTTTCTTTTGAACCACAATGATCTTTTAGTTGAAGGTTGAAGGAACTTCACTGTGAATTTCTATATGATTCGCGTTCACCCCATTTTTGAATTTTCACTCTTGGCTGCAAATGCCATCACTAATGTAAAAGATGAACTGAAAACTGAATATTCTTTCCGGGTATTTATTTGAAAGGAATTTGTGAATAAACCTGCGAGTATGTAGATAATACTTTGAACAAGTTGTACTCGTGCGTTTGCTTTTTCTTATTTTGAATAAACGTCGGCTTCGTTTTCGAGCCGCTGTGCGCTGGAAAACATGCGGCGAACCCGCATCAAGATGCCCTCACGTTCCTCTTCAGTTATTATTTATAAAAGATAAAAGAACCCTTTTCAGGGCCGGTGTGTTGTGTGTGTTTCGTTTGCGTAGATTTGCTATGACGCGCTTCCGAGACTGGAAAAAAAAATTCTATGGAATCTTTCTAGGAGGCCCAAGCCCTAAACGCAAAACCCACCCGTCCTCATGTGTATTTATCTGATGAATCAAGATTGTGTTGCGCCACGTCGCTGTTATACTTGTTTTTCAACATTTATATGATAACTCGGCGAGTCTTCACCGTTTACATTCTTCAGCGTTTTTTGTTATATTTGGTGGTGAATTGTAAACAAAAACTTCACCATGAGAAGTAAATTATACCAAATTAACATATCGACATATTCATTAATTAAAATGCAGTATTTTATGAACATAAAACGAATGCAAAATCATGATTTAAGGACCACCTGTTACCTGCCGTAAACCTACTATTTACATCCCACCCGATAAAAGTTAGTCACTTCATTTCCGCTCTTTAGTGTAAACAAAAAAAAGAAGAGCGTGGAAAACGCCGCAGTAACAAACAAATAAGCGCAACTTTTAACGACCAATTACGAATCGCTTAACAACTTTTGACTCATGGAACCATTGTAACTCTAGATGAAATAATTTTTCTTAAATGTTCAATGTCATTGTCAGTAATTGGGTAGTTATTAGTTGTATATAATTTCAAATTAAACATTTTTATTTATTTTACTTTATCTATTAACATACGGATTTCGAATGATAACTTCACATTTTAAGCAGAAATCCCCAGTGAGGGTTTAAAATTTGTGCACTTTCAAACACTGCTTATAATGTTTCACTATTGCCTAAAAGTTGTGTTACAATACTCAATATCCACACAATCAAATTTTGCTTGGCAATATTTGTTTTAGCTGTAATTTAAAAAAAACGACTTCGAATTATGAAACATAACAATTAAGTAGTTTAGTAATAATCTGAACGAAAAAGTAAAATATTTGGTTCATTATTCGTTCGTTCAAGTATTTCGCTTGAAGCAAATCGTGCGCATGGCAAATGAATCGGTTCTATATCAGTACACCAAGATTGCGGAAATAAAACACGTCTTTTACAGCCGCATTTAATTATCCGTCTATAATTTTAGCCTGATTTTTATTTATGATACATTTTAATAACGCTGCGAAGGTAAATAGGCATAATAAAATAATTTCGGACTTGGACTCTTTATTTTCGTTAGGAGAACGGTCGTAATAACGCGAAATAAATTAGCAATAAAAGTCGCTTCTAGTTAAGTTCGTATTTTATTGCGAAATTCTTGATTCAAGATCGATTACTGCGCATGACAAAGAAAATGATAAAAAAGAAAACGCATAAACCTAGTTATTTTATTTTATTTTATATTGTTGCTTTAAATTAAGAACACTTATGCACAAACTGCGCGAAATAAATCGCCCGAAATTGTATTATGTCAAAGCGGCGATTACTATCAAATAAATCGTCGCAATTAGACCGCACAATGCCCACATTATTTATTATAATCATTTCATTCATGTCGATAAGACGCAAAGATTTAATACCGTTATTGACAAATGGGGGTAATTAAATGTTTACAGTATCAACTTAAGTGTGATTATTGCCAAAGCAAAACTTACAAGTGATTGAAAACGCTGGTACATAACACGTGAAAACGCGTTGTTTAGTACATATTAAGTTCTAATTACACTTACTTATTTTCTTACCAATCATGACGTTACAATTAATATCTGCGCGATATAGCGCCATCTGTTAAAATCCAGAAAACGTCGGTTCGTCTACCTTCCAACATGTAACTCTAAATATACCCCAGAGAAATTTTATCCCTATAATTCAATACTCATTGAACGACGGAGGGACCCACACAGACGGCAGCAGTGCTCAGCAAAGGTCTTCATATAGTGATTGTAAACCTTAACAGTGTTTCGTGCTCGGCCATGCAAAGGCATGCACCGATGTCGATTCTGCTCGCGGGTCTACCGAGCTGGCGCACTCTCGAAACGTTACAAAATCTGCCCCCTGCAAGCGTGTATTTACAGTCGGCCACGGAGAACCATCCAAGCGACGGGTATTGAATTCATGCCGGCGATATGTGTGAACGATTGGAGCACATCCCAGCATCGCCAGGTATAGTGTGCAGCACTCTGCACCAACCAATGTACCTAACATAAGGATAAAACATTATTTAAAAGACTGCGGTTATTTTTTTGCGTCTCTCTTTTCTTATAGAGTGTGTGCAGAACCGGACTGTTGTGTTGTTGGCGCTGTTGGCCGCCTCACAGGTCCACAATACACTTGTTGCCGTGTTGCCACTCTGTCATCGCGACGATTTTGTGTGCATGTTCGTGTTTTTATTTCACATTCGACCGTAATGAATTGCATTTTTAGTGTGAGAGGCTAGAGACTGCTTTTTGATGGGTCGCCTGGTTAATGGTCGATAGGGAGGAGAAAGAACTCGTTGGTAATGACAATCCGAGAATACAGTGATTCCTTTATGAGTGTTTACGTAAAAAAGGAATCCATTAAAATCAGACATTAAATTAACTTTTAACTATAAGTAAAATTCATTAATTAATTTCGAACATGGACACTTTTCATTGCAATTACAGACATTTAGATCATTACGTGCATGCAAACTAATTTTTGAAGTTTGAATTGCATTGGTGTTGAAAAAAATCAATTTTGCTGATTCACGTGCAAAAGGAAATTAAATCTATTTTGAAGTTAAATCGCACAATAAAAGTAAACTTTTTCTGAAAGCCATAGAAATAGAAATAAAGCTTTTGGAATAATTGCCTTATTTATGCGCTCAAGAAATACGATATTCGCCAACTCGGAAACCAATATCAAACACACAATGCCTGAGATTGTTAAAACATTCATACAACGTGCTCCAACTTTTGCTCATGATACGGATCAAGTGTAGTTACGTCAACATAATAGACGTAGGCAAATGAAAGCGAATGAAAGCGGTAGGTAGGTAGGTAGGAGACCTATTTTCAGCCAGTTGTGCGCAGTGTGGTCCTATCTATTCATCAGATTACAGATACGCATTGAAAGGAACCTGCTTGGTACAGCCAAATTAATTTAAATACGTACGCTTTTACGATCTCACGTCCTTATCATATTGTTCTGTATATCTATATATTTCTTATTTCTTGGTTGGATTTAGTATAAGGGTCTAGATTCAGTTATTCAGTTCGGCTGGAGAGGAACGTAGAGCATGTTTAATTATGTCCGAATGATTGTCTTTTGACGCTGTCTTCGCGCAGCATAGGCACGTCAATAAAAACGCATTTACGACGTTATAAGAAGCAAGAAGGACATATTAAAGTTTATAAATGACAATCGTTCAATCACGTCCGGCATTTATGTTGCAACTACTATTGTGAGCCTTCGAGCACGATAATAAAAATAAACCACATCAAAAATCAGTCCAAAGCTTAAAGCTCGATCTTTCCAACGAAGGAGAAGCGAAAGCAACAAATCACAACACACAATACCCACATCAACGAAGACCATGAATACGAGGCGGACACGATGCGGAATTAGTTGACTAACGATTTCGAACACCTGTTACATGTTCTTCTTTTTCTGGCTGCAGTGGTGAATTGGAATAATTTGCTATGGAAAAAATGTCTTAACTTAATTTTTAAATGCTGCACATTTTTGTCCTGTAAATAAAATCTTTCGGGATTGAGAGGAATGGGAGTAAGAGACAAGTTAAGCGCGCGCCTGCGCTCCTCACTCTTGGGGTCGAGACACAAAGTTTGACAAGTCTATGAAACCGCGAAGCGTTAAAACAAAGCTTTAATCCGGTAAGTTCCCTTTTGTGGGGCCGTCACTGTTCCGCCGGGGTTCGCGTTCATTTAATAACAGGCACGTAGAGGTGCCTCTTGTGCGACTGCGAAGGGAGCAACCAGCGTAGTCGACGACATCTAACGAAACTCGCGAACTCGGCAGCCAACCGGCGAGAAACTTTAAAATTGCTCTAATTTCGTCACGGCTTTATTACGACCAAGTCAGCGCGCAGCATAATCGCTAAACCTGCGCGTGTGTTGGCGTGTGTGTGTGTATTCATTGTAAAGCACTACCGTTCGACTGGGGCGCACTATTTTGGATTAGCAATGTGGGATCGGTGAGTGAGTGCAAATGTTGTAATTGATGTGTGTTAAAAGACACGATGTTTATTATCACGAACAATGTTTATTAAGAAGTATGAAGAGAAGTGAAGTTAGTAGAACTGTAGAGTTTGAAGTGTGTGGAATAACTGTAGAAGTGTCGCTTGTGAAATGTGTAGAATAACTGACCTTCCTAAACCCTTGTCCCTCACCAGCAACCCTTCAGGTTGATGGGTGGTGACAAGAAATTTGGAAGTAGGAAGAAAGTAATAGATTGGATTGGTAGAAGAAAGTGTATGACATTGAAGAGAGGGAAAGCTGACCATTGGATTCTGGGAATCCGAGTCGTGCCAAACCGTCCGACTCGGGGATTAGGTTTTTCAAGGTAATAAAAGTAATTATGCATCGCTGGCGAAAAATGGTAGTCAGGCGTTGCATAACGCACTAGTGAATTATAAGCGTATTATTCGTGTATATGCGAAGGTAATAATTTAACAGATAATTTGAATTTGCAACGTGGGCGCAGCGTAAATCGAATAAATCGATTTTACTACGTCCATCAACCATCCATCCGACATGGTAATTATTCGTTAAGTGTTTTCGCGCCGCGAGCGCCCACCACAAGCACACACGCACACATTTTGAATGCGTCGTAAACGTAAGTAAAAATTTCCGCAATAGTGTCGTTAAAAAAATGCGCTCGTTTAAAGTTGTTATGATTATTATTCTTATACCAATCGGTCAGAAAAGTGCGCCGGCGCATTTTACGGCGGCAATTTCCCGCTGCCCCACTTGTACTTACTTGCGTAAATGTGTGCTGAGTGTGTGTACCCTCCCGATGGAAGAAGTAAAACTCGCGAGTCGCAAACTTGGGGAGAGTTTTATACACGCCGATAAACACTCTTAAAATTTTCGTTTCGCTTGCACAAGTTTTTAAGTGCCCGTCTCCCGAAAACAGCGCGTCGATTGAGGCGAGAGCATTCGAAAAACTATAATTTTTATGCTCTCCCGGCAGGAGGGGCGGCCCGCTTTTAAAACCCGCAAAACCGACGCTCGCGACGACTTTTTTACGCCCTCGATGGATACTTGGTGGTTTTTCTGTGCTGCCTTGTCCGGGTGGTATTTGTACCCGAAGATGAACTTCAGTAGCGCGTGGTTATGACTTTATCAAACTTAATTATAAGTTTAATATCAAACGGCATATAAACGTACTTAGGCACAGCACTGCAAAATGTCAAAATACGGTACAAATAATGAGAGAGTCGTAAAGTATACGTCGGGTGGTGCTTTCGGTTTATTTTATTTTTTGGTTGAGATTAATATTTGTATATAAGTTTCAGGTTTCCGTACGAACGAAATAAATACACACACATGACTTCGTTTCAAAACAAATATAAAAAAAAATAGCGACCCAACAAAGGACTCTTTCTAATGATATGTAATGGCTTATTCAGGCCTAAAAAACTACTAAAACAACTCGTAAAATGCCGAAACTTTAACACGCGCTCGTAAAAATATATTAAAGCATAATAAGATTATAATAAAATCTACACCATTGCAGGCGGTAGTTTCAATTATGTAAATTCGTATGTCGCAAAGTCGAGCTTGTAGGTGCCCATGTGCATAAAACCACCGCACACTGTCGATGAAATCAGTGTACAAAAATGCTACGCGTTTGTGGAGGAACTCAACGTGTTTTATGCGAACATGTGACTTTCCCATCTTCATAAAAAATATAACTCAGCATATTATAATCTAAATTATTTGAGGGTAGAATGCGATGCTATGTTCATGGTCATCCCAAGTCTTCAACATTCGTTTCTCATTTTTCCTATTAACCATTTTTAAAAATGGTGTTTTTGTGATTTTGTCTAAGTTACACTACCCTTATTGCTGTTAACTTGATCATAATCTGTGCAAGCAGCCAGCCGAGAACCGGTCAAATAAAAACGTAAACCTCAGTAAAGGCATAAAACACGAACCCGAGACGCCGATGCTGAGGCTGCGCTCTCAGGAACAAAACCTGTTACTGCAGTTTTATAAATTCTTACTGGTTCTGCGGAGCTTAAACGCAGCTTTGATTCACTGAGAGTAATTTCTGTTTTTCAACGCAATATTTTTTCAAATATTTTCTCTCAATTTTAGTTTTTTTATATATGTACAGTTTATATATCTTTATTTATATATATGTAGGTACATGCGCCTTGTTCAAAAAACATTTACCAACCTATGGTAGTAAATGTGAATATAGAATGGTAATAGTACCGATGAGAAGTGCACGTGCAATACACATTTACCAAATGCAGTGGTAAATGTATACGTATACCAGGCAAATGTGTACATTTACCGGACATATACTCAGTTTTTTCAATTTTTTTTTTAGTCCCTTGTCAAGTATTTGACCTTAATTATTTACTCTGTACATTAAAAATCATAGAATTGAGAAAAGTTTGGCAAAATGGGCAAAAAAACTCAATATTTTCCTAACGCATTTTACCCTACGTTTCCCTACATATATGGTATACACGTATACAGTGTACAGCAGTAATAACCGAAGAAAGAGATATAATAAGTAAAATGCTCGGTTTGCATGCGATACACTGATATAGAGATATAGCTAGAGATGATGAAACGGCCGGGAGGCAGACATGATGTGTGCGCGGATACAAGCCGGAATGTATATCCTATAAATAATGAAGCATATCGTGATATATTATTTCGTGCCAGCCAGCTAACCAAACCGTCTCGATTGAGGAAGCCCTGAATCGGTCGGTTTTTCAAAATCATAGCGCTGCAAATTTTCTAATGGCTAATGTTGTGTTTGCACAAGATGAACTCGACTTTAATGCGATATAAACCATCTCCTTCATTCATGCTTTAATTAAAGTTAAAGGTTGATGAAATAATTAACAAATGCTGTTTACATCTTCAGTTCCTGCACTTGTTAATTAATGCCTTTTCGTTGAACATTCAGCAAACAGAAAAAAGTTTTAAAAACTCTGTGAAAGTTAAATTAATTAAGCAAATTAATTGTCAATTGGGTATAGTTGATGTCCTGTTCATTCGGCTATAATGTAATAATAAATGAAGTTACTGCGCGCTGTCGCAGCGCTTCCTGACAGCGACGTTGAAGTCTCAGTGGTACAGGCAAGCAAGAAACGAAAAAAAGCATGACTTAAAAGTTTGTTGCTGCAGCAAGGATCTAGTTGTTATGCGAGCAAACTAAACCACAAGCGCGACATTCATTGGTGGCAGAACTCCTTATGTTGCGGCTGACAAAAAAACCAGTCTGCACGATCGAGATATCAGGATATAATATATTCACCAGGAATTAAAGTCAGGATTCAAATCGCTGTGTATTTAAAACAGTTTAAGATATCTGATAAGTTGGAACAGTTTTCTGCATTTTAAAGTTGCGGTATTTAACGAAAAGCTGAAACGTAGGGAAGTGGCGTTATTTGAATTAGAACATAAGTTATGACGATTGTTAATTGAAATATTCCAAATCAACCAAGCGAAAAAAATCCATTCAGTTTCAATATCTAGTATGTTCAAATTAAAGTTGAGTTTCTTTTATAACAATACCTACTTAATAATTCAAATGTTTCAAAGTCAGTTTAGGTGGTTTAAATGGAAAATACAACCAGGATCGTTGCACCTTCAGAAATATACTGTGCACGAACATCTTATTATTTTTTTCTGGACGCATCGCTGATTTTCGTCGAAGAATATGTTGAAACGTGCGATATCGGTATGCGCACGTACAGATATAAGTGTGAGCGACATCAAAGACTCCGCCACCTTGTTTTTAATCTCGGCCGAGCGAATTGTTTTTTCCGTTTGCGTTTACGCTGCACTCGAACGTACACATACTCCGTATGATGTACTTGTACACATTTAACGTATTTTTTTCATGTACTAAATAAAGTTATATACTCAACCGGCGATGTGTTTCGGGCTGTGCAAACATTCGCTTCTAAATTATCTGCATATTTCGTATAATATCGTTCGGAGACGAGCAAGACGAATGTGTGTTTAAAAATATTCGAACATCCTACTACGAAAATATCCATTTATTTTTCGACGCTTCCATTTGTTTTATTCGCTTTGTGCTAAACACGTCATTATTTTCCTAGTTACACATTGTGTTTTTCACGATTTAGGAGGAGGAAAAAAAACAGAAATTAAATCAAAGCCCTACAAGTATGTGTGTGTGTTTTTTTTCTTCTTCTTGTACATTTTAGTTAAACGAAAAACGTATTTTTGTTGTTCCAGTGGGACTTAAGTGCTTGAAACCTACACTCGTTTCGTACTACGCGGCCCGCACGCTGGATCCTGTTGCGCCTGTTATCCCAGAGTGAATCCTGTCGACGTGACGAAACTATGTAAGTTTTCAATCTACGTTATTATTGCTTGGAGTCAAGTCGATGCTCGCCCGTTTCGCTGCGGTGCGCGCTCTCTCACTGCCGGCGTTTGGATATTTCTTCCCTCGTCGTCGTTTTTGCTCGAGGATCCACATTTCTTGGGTACGTCGCGAATCTCATTCAACACCGTCACTTGGGCAATACTTACGTAGTTAATTCTGCGTTTGTTGCCGCAAAACTTTCAACCGCTTCTAGTAACTGCATGTTTTAATTTGATCTTCCAGGTAGAATCTGAATCCTTGACCTTTGCCCTTTCTAATGGCCGTTGCACTCGCTCGTATCACCTAGCATCAGGGGCGTATTAATCAGTTTTCAAAAATCGATTTCTTTCAATTTAATGTCGACGATGTTTTGTCGACGTCGGCAGGCGATTGCGTCTTGTGCCGCTCACGTGGGCGAAGGTTAACATTTATTTTGTTATTTTGCATTGAAAGAAGCATAAATTTCAATAGGCTATGTACGCGTGCGCGCGCGCGACCCGTGCAACATTGCAACATCGACAACTTTCATCATCGATGTTCTCTTAGAGGAGTGTGTGTGCTTGTTGTGTTGTTGGCGGTGTTTTGTTTTCCAGCGTTTTCCCATTTCGAACGCAACAAATCTGGCCTGAATGCAACATGCATTAAAGTGCATGTGATTTAATTTCACACTATTGCATAATTACTTAGCAATAAACGAGCGCATTGTGTTCGCTGAAGTGCGTCGTGTGTAAAAATATTGAAACGTCGTAAATAACCACGTGTATGTCACTGTTGTACAGCGCGCATATTGCGCGGCTACTCATTTCTGTAGTTTTACGAGTTTTCGCTTCGATTTTATCTCGTCCTGTCGTCAACGCGCTGGAGTACAACTTATGGGCCCCGTCTGGCATCCGCACATTTCGTCGAATTATAACCGATAACTAGAAATAATATTCTTAATCGCATGCATAAATAATGTACATAAGGGCTGTCCATTAATCACGTGATCTTTTTTTCATTTTTGGACCCCTCCCCTTGGTGATACGTCGTGAGGTTTAAGATTACCCCACCCCCACCCCATCATCACGTGTATTTTAATCCCAACAACAACACGCCGGTTTTCTCTTTAGAAATCGTGCGTTTGACGAAAAATAAATACACGTGATATCTTACTCCACTCCCTCCCCTGGTGATTTTAACAAACCCCTCCCCTTCATGACTCACGTGATTAATGGACAATCCCTAATATACTTGCAAATATTACCATCATTTGATTAAATTATCGGCAAGTACAAACATTCATATTTAATTTGTCAAAATTGTATAAATTGGAGTGCTCACTCAGAAGATGTATTCTCACAGTTAATTTTCCTATTTTTTTTTACTTATTTATTTATTAATATCACCACATTGTAAAATATAAGCTGTGAATAAATTGTCCAATTATCGACGACATTTTTAATTGACGCAATATGTTTACCAATATGTTAACCATTTCATGCATTTCGTATAGATGCGCACATTTTCTTGTGGATACGTGGTTTGTTCGGACGTATAAGGCGTCCATGAAAATGATTTTAATAAATTTCATCGCAAATTGTGTGCAGAACACGGCCGTGTATCGGGTTCATATTTCGCGCAAAGTCTCTCGACAATCATAACAATAAATACGTAACATTATTTGAATTAGCATCGCATAAAAGCGGGCATAAAAGCGAAAACGAAATAATCTCGTTGACATTTCGCTCGTCGTTCAACACAGCCATAATACAAGCAAACCACCAATGCGTATTCTTTTACACGCGGTGTAACATTAGGGCCAGGATGGGAATTCAATTCGTGAATATCCCTGCAAGATCGACCTACACGTTCTTTCTTTTATTACGTAGTTTTATTTTTATTATAATTTATTGTTTTATATTCAATCAACTAAAATATGTAGCAATTTTACATGCATGTATTATACACTTATGAACACACACCGAAAGGCACCTCTACTTTTGTTTTTGTGTCTATGTGTGTGTTTCATTTTATTTCTTACTTTCGTTATGCGTGTGTGTGTTGATTTGCTTTGAAAATAATAACAAAGAGCTTGTATCGTGCCACGATGTTAAAGTAGGTACCTACATGCAATAAGTATCTATATGTGCTTTTAAGACACTGGCGTTGTACGCCTAATATTTTCGTTTCTACGAAATCAAAGTTGTTTGATATCGTGTTTGCGGCGAGTTGGCTCACTAGCAGATTTGCGAAAATTTAAATCACTTTGGGCGCTCTTCTTTCGGTAGAAATTTTTTTTATAGAGACTCCAAATGGAAACTGAAAGCTACAGCTAGAGAGCACACTGAGTTCGATGTAATTGTAGGTGTGTGCTGCACACGGTGCTACCTGCTGCGTTTGCGGTCGCGCGAGTGCGCGCACTCTGATAAACTCTTACGCCAAGGGGTCGGTAACCAAACCGTAAACATCCCATTCCGTGGGCCCGCGATACGATCGGGATCGACGCGGACCTTTAAAACCGTGCGCTGCAAAGATCGCTGTTGCTCTCTCTTTCTTTCTCTTTTCTTGAATTACGAAAAAGCAAAATAACGCAAATAAACGCCGCTGCGCTGCTATGTTTACAGGCGTTTGTAAATAAATACTTCCTTTGGCCTTTATTGCCTCGTTTCAGCCGGCTGCTGAGGTAGGCAAGTAATCGGAAGATTAAACTTGCGCGGTACTCTTGCTGGATGCAAGATCGTGGACAACTAGTTGTCGTTAGATTGATAATTGTGTCGCGGCGTGCGCGCCTCAGTTGACGATTCGTGTGTGGTCGTGTGCATTTCAAACAGAAATAATCGCATTCTCGGAATATGCGGACACTGACAGCCCAAAAACTTCAACTGGGTACAAGCTTATTTTATCTTCATCCACGTAAACATTTCTCGTGGCCGCGAACGCGACTCACTTTGGCAATACGCCACCTTAGCGGATGTTACTCTATTCGGCACCTCTAACATCGTTCAAGGTTTTGCATATTTCTAGCGACTTCTGAACTTTAATTGCACCCTTGACGCAAGTAGCACTAGACAACATGTCGTTGCCCTGGAATTTGTAGTCAGATACAAATTTTCAGTGAACATTTACTCATATTATTTTTCTTCGAATCTGTAACAGGTGCTACTTTTAAGTTTCATTGTCATTACCAACTAGCATCCTATTCGGGCAGGTTTCCAATTTTTTTCAAATGTAACTCAAGTTCTGGGATGTTTAACGTCAGTGAGAATGTGGAATGCAGAGGTAATACACAGGACGGAAATGTTGACCAATCCGTAGTCCCCTGATGTCCTTTCGGACAGCAAGATGTGTATAAGATGTAAATGAATACGCGCCGTGTCGTGCGGGCCCCAGACACTGTAACCCTCGACCGCATCGCGCCGCTTACCATCTGGGCCCCAAGGATTTCCATTAAGCCAAAGCCCAGCAGAGCGTCATCTGATATTTTCAGTCAGATTGCTTTATGGCAAATAAATCACATCCTGCTTTTTGGTGGGCTTGCGTGTGCATTATGTACGGTGATATGACAAAATTCCATCGTACTGTGATTTTAGGTCACACTGCACCATCTTCAATCATCTTCACAACCCAACCGCATTAATGCTAATATCTTGTGCGGGGCCTTCTGTTGAGATATTTACACTCGACGTGATAATCGCGCCGACGATGTTGCATCAGTGGCGCGCGCGCGACTGCTATTTTTATCTGGACACAGGGTTAACGTTAACACCGCGGGGCCGCGCAGGCATTTAAAGCCTGCACGTCTGGAGCGAAATGTGTGTGCAAATATAAATAAACTGCAGGTATCTTGAACTTTGCCAAAGGCCATGGCTGCACGAATTCGCGAGAGTCCGTGCACAACAAGCGTTTTTGTTCGGGGAGAAAATCGAGTAACGCGAGAGAAAAAAAACCACAGAACACGTTCCTATTTCAGCACGACTTACGCACAATATCGCGCTGTGGCATCTCGCCGACACAAAACCGAAATTATTCATTCGATGTCATTGCATCGCTTGTTTTCATTGACTGCGCAACTGCGTTTACAATATTTTCGAGAAACGCCGACACAAAATAAATTTAGTTGGGTCCGTTGTGCGTCGAACACAATGAGAATGTTTTATTTATTAAATATAAATATATACATTAAAGAAACGAACTTTCAATGAAAATTACACTCTGTACATTTCAATTTCAGTCTGCAGTAAAATGAAACTATATATAAAATATATATCTGAAACGCATGTAACGCTTACAGAACTAATCATTCAAAACATACGCAGCCAGTTCTACATCAAGTGTGGTGCTTGGAGAAGTTTCCAAGCATTTTTTATTTGCGATTTGTGCTACGAAATGCGCGAACGCCACGAGTGTTTAGCGTCACAGAACGGCGACGTGCGGCAAGCGCTATGTAAATAAAAAGTACATGTACAATTGTAGGGAAAAATAAAAATCTCCTCGCCTCCCTCAATGCGATGCGACGTTTAGAATCTGTCAGAAACATTGTGCGACATCAACGCGGTTTTGTTTTACTTTTACGCGTATGTGTGTGCTGTAGCAATTTTTGGAATCGTGTGGTTTGCTGCAGGAAGTTGTTGTGCAAGGAATCGCACAGATGATAAATGTGACCAACATTGATGCACACACAACGACGTCGGCCCGATAAACTGTCTTAGTACGCGTACAGTAATCGGACCGGTCGGTTGGCGGCGCTTCTTAGAAATGTGTTTCATCCGCGTCGAAGCGCGGCACCATCAAACGATCGATTATCAGCGGTGAGCCGTGCTTTTCCTGCTGAATATTTGCCGGCGCGCGCAAAATATTTCCCGGGACGTTTACCAGCAAACAACCCAAATCGCATTCTCATGGATCTTTCCACTGCGTGATTGCTTGCGTTTTTTTAATTGCCAGTAAACTCGCCGAATTGTCTGCGCACGCGGACCACCAAGGATGTACGTCGCACCTCTCTATAACGATTTAATTACTGGCTGAAAATTTTTATTGTTAAAAAAAGGTCGCTGGTTTTGACCGGCAATCGGAAAGGGTGAAACCACTCCTAGGGCTATTATATGAAAATAGCGTAAAACATAGTAGTTTTGTTTTAAAGTCGCTTTGTTATTACCGCCTAACTCGGAACTCCACTTGACTGCCGTAGCACGTTAACGGCTCACGTCTATATCATCGTGGATAGATAGGGAAAAATAGTTTATAATGACGTGTATAAAAGTCTCGCCTGCTCTCCGTCGGAATAAAACCCTCGCTTCTTGCAAGACTATAAAACTACAATTTAGCTAATGTGTTTCTC